GTGAACTGAAAAGAATTAAGAGAGATAAAGAAGAACGTGAAGCGTACGTAGGACTTTGTTTTTTTCGTTGAAAAAACCTTTTGCCACTAATGAAATAATACTCATTTGATTATCATTTTTTTAGGAGAGAAAAAGAGCAAGAAGAGATTGAACGGAGACGTAATATGAGTGAAGAACAACGTTTAGCTGAGGATATGTCGCGTGTAAGAGAACAACGGGAGAAAAAACCACACGGGCAATATAAATTCCTGCAAAAATATTATCACAAGGGTGCTTTCTACTTAGTATGTTTATTAATTATTTAATTTTTAGTGAAACGATATATTATTATCAATAATTTAATATTTTTGTTGGTAATTTTAGAATCCAGATGAAAAAATTTTCAAACGTGATTATACTGAAGCAACACCCGATGAAGCAGGTGCTTATCAACAAATTTGCTTTTTCTATATTGGATTTCTCCTTTCCTGTTTATTATAGTGTTATTTATTTTAATTTTTTATTAATTATTTATTTTAGCTCACAAGGAGCTATTGCCCAAAGTTATGCAAGTTAAGAACTTTGGTCGAGCAGGACAAACTAAATGGACTCATTTGGCTGATCAAGATACTTCAAAGGTTGGTTTTATTACTTAACAATCTTACTAAATAACTTGATGAAATTTGACTTAAATTCAATTATTATTTAAAGAAAGATGCAGCGTGGAGTCAGAACTCTGGAGTTACTAAATCGATGATATCAAAGTTGGGTGGTTTACATGGAGGGTTTGATAAACCTACATCAAAAAGACGGAGAACTAAGTAATTTTAATCACACCCTTGGTTTTAAGAATTTGGTGCTTATATAGAGGTTAAATTTTATAAGTGCTATATAAGTTAGTTTTAAAAATTTGCGATTATAAGAAAATGTGACTATAGAGGAGGTGACTATAGAGAGGTCTGACTGTATATAGTATTTACATTATCATATTACTGTAATGCACTGACCAAACGACCCGGGTCTAATACAAAACACCCATCAAAAAACTTACAAAAGACCCAGGTATATTATGCTAAAGCGGGTCTGTGTCGCAAGGAAGAAAATTTTTATTCTGCATTTACAATAAGCAGTCTAAAAATTTTTTTTTAAAAAAACTATATTTAATTAATATAGATCTCGTGTTTTGAACCAGGTATTTGCAAGGGGTGATATTGAAAAAGGGGAGTACTTTGGTCAGTGCACCATGGTAAATTGTGTCAATAGCGATACACTATATCGTATCTAGTACCCCATTTACAATCTTCAATCCGTTTTTTTTCTCCTTATATGTTAATTAGAATTAAAAACAAATTTTAATAATTTGAACTATTCAAATTTACTGGATGTGCACTTGAGATTTCTATAGTAGTAGTCGAAATTTGTAAAGCATCGGCCTCGAAAATAATTTTTTCGATCTCATCAGAAATAGTATTTTTACATCAATGTTCTCAAAAAATTTTTATTGCTCCGTTATGTATTGGTAAATGTTTCACCAACATCAAGATAAGGAATTTTTTGTGATTTAAGACCGAGAACCATGGTTTTTGTCAATTAGGTAATATAAAATCATTAGTAATCCTGCAAAATTTACAAAATTTTGCAAACCGCAATAACTATATCGATATATATAGTTTATCCGATTAGTCGATTAGTCGACTAATCGATCGACTGATTATAATAAAATTTAGTCGATTAATGACTATATGATTCCTATCCTTACCCTTAAAATTTTCTAAATATTAAAAAATATAAATAAAATTAAAAAAATAAATTTATTTGTTTTTGGTTTAGTACAGTATAATATTACATAATAACTTATATTTATATCATTTCTATATTAATCTTATAGTTATATCATGTGATTAAAATTTTATGTTTGATTAAATTTATAATAAATAGTTTTTTATTGTTTTTTATTAAAAAATTTACATTTAAAACATGTTTTAAAACATGTTTTAAAACACTTGCCATCCCTACCTGTTAGCAGAGCCGAGCCAGCCGCTCGCGTCTCTGCTAATATAATTTAATTTTTCCATAACCTAAAAAGATATATGTAACATAAATTATTTTGATCAAAAATATTTTATAAAAAGATATTTCTTACCTCTTCCAACTTTCGTTTTTTCTCTTGTAATTCCAAATGTTTCCGTATTTTTGGATTCTCTTTTGAAAATGATAAGATTTGATTTTTATTCATACCATATACAAGTAGATTATCTACTTCTCTTGGAAATTGGAAAAAGAATTCATTTAATAATTCAACTTGGATGAACATTACAGCAGTGTAAGTAAGTTTTTCGGCGACCATATTTAAAAATGCTTCAGGACAATATTGTTTATTTTCAGGGGATTTACATTGTCGTGATTTGAGAGCAGCTAAACGGTATTTTAATATCATGGATCGATCTCGCAAAAATATTGCTTCTAGAGCTTTTTCAATCACTTTAGGGTTGAAATGTAAACGATGACGATCAGAGTCATTATCTTCCATGATATCATTGATTATAATAGAATGGGGTTTGGCGTTTGTAGTAGCATCGTTTCCGTTATCAACAACAATATTGCCTTCCCCAGAATCACGAGCATGAGCCTGTGCACGTTTTGCTTCTCTTTCAGCATCAATTACATATTTAATTGCGGCTCTAAGTTTCTTTTTTCCTATGGTATCTTTGATATTTTGTAATGCTTTATTACAACTTTCCAATTCTTTTTCAAGAAGAGATATTGTCCTTTTCAAGCCCTCAGTCCATTCTTGTTCACTACATTCAACTTCATGTTTATATGGCTTTACACAATTTTCAACTTGATCTGAAGTTGTATGAAATTTGTTTCGTAAAATTTCGTTGCTAAGACTTAATAGCTTACTGCTTATTTCAGGATGATTATTTAATGGTTCCAATAATGCTATTTTTTCCATATTTGCCATTAATACACCAACTACTAATTGCGTACTAGTTCGTCCAATACCACTTTTTGTGAGAGCTGCTGAACTCATGTCAAGTTTATACTTCCAATAAAGTTCATCAATAGATGCTTTTGGTAAATCAACGATGTTATTATCAGTCCAATATAATTCAGCACAAAGATCCATAACCTTTTGTTCCAACATTGATCGAACTTCATGCCTTACTTGGGGTTTTCCAAAAGAATGTGCAAAATTTTTAAAATTATGTTTAATGCTGTCAATGGTTTCAGCAACATATGATTCTGCCGTAATCCGTCTGTAGAAAAAAAATAAATCAAGTAAATATAAATAAATATATGCTAGTAACGCAAATATGCATATGTTATTGATTAAACTTACCTATCATTATATTGCACTTTGAATTGATAGCGGGACTCTTCTAATTCTTTTTGTACTGCTCCAACGATAGAAAACAAGGATTTTGCCATGCCTTCCTCGAGTACCTCCATCAATTTCTTTCGTAAAGTACCAATGCCAACTTGGATGCCACGTTGACTGTACACATAATTACTTCGGAAAAATTGATCCTCATGACGAATCAAAGCAGAAGTAATATTCTTTTTGTTTT